CGTCAAAGCCTTTTAGCGATAAACACACACACATATATATATATAGTGAAGTTTACGACATCGTAGCAACTCAGCATAGCAGTAAAGCAGTTTTCCAATTCTAGTCGATTCCGCGGAGAACCGATTCTGTAATCGAATCCAGACTCAATTCCGCCATCCCTATTGAGGAATTGATTATCTGTCTGTAATCGTATGATTTTATGGAGCCCTATAGTCAACGCAAATTCCCACCTCATCGCTAACCTTTTTTTGTACATCTATGGGAGACGAATAAGAGGAAGCGGAAGGAGCTGTTTCTCAAACTTTTATAAGTTTTTAAGTTGGTCCTTGACGTTTTGACGTAAATAGAGCGGGAAAGGTGTAGCTTTAGAATGCACTGGTTGCCCGGTTGTAATATTACGGTGGATCGTGTTATGTTTCGCTCTAACATCTGTCAGGGCGAAACATGAAGTTGAAAGAAATGAATGAAGTCTGCTATTGATTTATTGTTCTGACAGAGAATTCCATACCAAATATGGCGGTATTCGAGTTTGGGCTGAAGAGGCGTGAGTTGCGTAAGTCGACCAAAAGATCGTGTTCTGACAAAAAATCAGCTCCTAATGTTGGTTGAGTGACACGTGCTATTTAGAAAATGGAAAATTTTTTAATAGTTTCATATATTAAAAGAGTCAGAACTTGTTGACCCTACCATGTTATTGGTGTATCGTTGGTCGAGAACGTTACAACTTTCAAATGTGGGGATCAAAGAAACTGTTGCTCCTGTATCAAAAGGAAGTTTTCGACCGCCTTTTCTACCAAATAGCTAGAGAACGTTTGTGTTTGAAGAACTGGAATCAAATTGACGAACTGAATTTATATGTCGGTGTGATGGTCTTTACTACGCCCTAGGCAGAAAAAATAACCTCGTTTGCAAAAGGTAACGGGCTGGACGCAGTCGCGTGCTGAATTTCCATAACGCTGATAGTACCAGCAGGACCTTGTAGAATTGGATAAAGATTTGTGATTGGAGTGATTGACTTTGTTATTACTGCCACACCCATAGAAGAATTGATGAGTTTGTGCATTGGGCGACGACGGATTCATAAAATTCAAGCGTTGTCTGTTTCTGTTACGTACAGCATGCTGGGTTAAAGCATTAGAGCCGACAGAAGTAGGGAGCGTCTTCGCACGACAAATGTGTCGAATTATGTTTTATACTTTCAATTTCTTTTCGAAGATTGCCGGGTTTGTCAGATAACTTTGACATGATTGAGATAACTTTGACATTGAAATGATTAATATTGTTTTCAATACAACAGTCAGGGTTTGACATATTGTTGTGATTAAGAATACTATTGTGAAGGTCTTCTGGCGAATTTACTAGCAGCTCTAATAACCCATTTAACAACGGTATTAAACTGTATATAACCCCATTCCAAATAGGGTGCAAAAATACTAGATAGAAAGATTTGATGGAAAATATGGGAAGTATTCCAAACGCTGCACGGTATATCGAACAAACACTGAAATTGGTGAATATTCAATATAGTATGCGTCTGAATATTCATGCGTATCGTTAATAGGTATGAGTTTCTAATAATATATATAAGCCAAACAATCTAATTTTGGGCGTGGCATTATTTTGTTGAGATATTGGTTTCAACAGCAACCTCTGAGCATTGAGAAATACCAAGAGGCAGGGGCGGATTAAGCCGCTTTGGTTCCCTAAGCACTGAAGACTTTGGTGCCCCCTCATGTGTAATTTAATTATAAAAACAATAATCCACATAAGTGTATTATCCATTAAAAATAATCACAACCAACAGTAAATAAAACAACTTTTACGAACATTTTTAGGTTTTTTCAACTGTTATATATAGCCTATATGTGTATCGGCCGATTACTGCCGATATTATATATATGCAAACACGCAATATCGGGCCGATATATCGAGTGAGCTCTAATTCTGAGGGAGTGTGACAAGAAAGATTCATGCCTCCAGTCTCAACGTGAATCGAAATACCAAAGGATACAAGTCACAACTGTAGTTTGAAATTTTACCGGTACCTGTGGGGGTGGCGTTCGTTTAGAGAAGATATATAAAGCTCCAGTTATTTTAAAGTTAATTCCCGAGAATTACCGTTGTATTTTGCGCATCTCGTGTTTCATGTCGCTTCAAAATATATTCTTTCGTGACAGATATTACTTGAAATCAAACCAGACACTGCGTGATGGGCAAGGAAATACATTTCCGCCGTGTTCTCTTATGTCACCTTTCTTGCGACACTCATTTTATTACGAATTGTTATATTGAGTAATTTAAAAACTTGCAGCGTGAGCAAGCTTAGTGACATCGTCAAATACCAACCAAGTCAGTCTAAGTTGGTTTTCGGGACCTAGCTAAAAAAACTGGATTACGCGGCGTTAAGTCGGCTCTGCGTTTTCGTCACTACTGTCACATGGCCGACGCAAGTGTTTTTACTAAAATAAAGGCACAAAGCGTTAAAAAAAGGGTTTGAATTTCGGCATCCCAACCCCATCTAAAAAAAACTCAAAAACGTTACTCTATTAGATACAAATATACGCTAAAATTGTTTTGTGAGCCGCACGGAATGTATCAGCATGACAGAGTTTGGACCACCCTGGTCTACCTTATCAAGAAACTCCCGACTTTGCTGACCAATATATCGTTGAAATGCGATTGTGGAACCGCCACATAGTGTAAATAGTTCATTGGTCCAATTGTTGAAGTGAATAGAAATTTTTTCAAAATAAAAATGCAGCAACAAGGTGAATACTAGAAAGAAAAAACTACAACAATTTAAGAAAACGACTCATAGGCCCATTTCGTGTCCAATAAATAAGTTTCAATGTTTATTTTTAGTAAAGAAGGTTAATATAATACTTGAAGACAAAAAATAAGCGAACGGTGAACTCGTAATATTTTAATAAATACCGATAAACTATATAAAATTCTGCTCTAAAATTTCTGTGATGCCCCTCTTTGCTTGGTGCCCTAAGCACGTGCTTATATTGTTTAATGGTTAATCCGGCGCTGCTTAGAGGTGATGTCACATTCAAATCAATAGTATTCCTGGCGCCAAGAAGATCTTTCGCTGTTGGATATATGATGTTGGTGTATGATGACTTTGAGACTATGTTATAAATAGCGTTGTTTTTCGAAAATAATTATCATAGTGAATATTGGTATGAACTAATCCCGGCGCCACGGTTTCAATTTTGAGACCTTATTTTAAACAATTTGGAGTTATTTCATTTTATATGATTATGGCATCATTTATTTTGTGCTGAAAAAGTATTATAGTTTTATTTTATTTAATGCGCTTGATGTTTCCTGAAGCGGTCACTTAATAAATAAGATCTTCGCCCAAGTTCCTAAACTTGCAGTTGTATGCAAAGTAAAAGTTAATTTGTTTCCTGCACTTGTTACCTCAAAAATTACCTTCAAATTTATTACAATCAACAGTCAGGATAAATGTTGAATATTCCGATGCGAACACGATCTTCGTGTTGCCATTTTCATAGGACTCAGCTGTGATAATAAACACATAAATTAAACAAATGTTTGTGTTACAAGTGGTCACAGTCGAAAGTAATTGTTTACTTACAGTATACAAATATTGAAGGGATTACATCATAAACAAGAGAGCTATGCTCTGATATATAGACGTGTTACTCTGAAATTCACTGTTGTACGGTACGGTAACTTACCAGCAGGCTTGAACACGGAACCTGTTCGTTGATCAAGTGATCAATATATGTTTGCGGAATCGCCACATGGTGGCAAATTCTGATGACGTCATAGCTAAAAATAAAAACGAATCCCATAAAGCTCACAGGAATATTTGAAATTAATAAAAGTAATAGCCTTCTAGAAAAAAATTCCATCTTTAACTAATGAAAATTTTAAAGCAATTGGTCCAGTAATCAAAGAGAAAAGCGACTTTTTAAAAACGTGTCGAAGAACAAGAACAGGAACAATAAGAACAACGACTATATTGCGGAAACTGGCTGTAACCCAATCACAATGTTTGGTTGCATTAAAAAGTACTCCTATTATAGCGTTACAATCCCAGTGTAACGAAATGCCTTTACATATCATACATTATAGAAAATGTCTACATTACAAATGCAGAATGATTCATCATGACAGCGAAATTACAGCACAATTATTCAAACAGTCGTGGGAAGAATATTTTTCTGACAAACCATCATTTGCAACGTTCAATATGAAAACAACCAACAGCTTTTTTACCGACTTCTCTGTTGCAAAAGATGTCAATTTCAAGATTTCTTCCTGGATAATGAAGCCACCGCAAATTGATACATCGTTAACGATCTATGGTACAACATGTTCACCAAAAATACTTCAAACGTCATTTCTTGATCATATACACGAAAACTATCTGGACTATGTACAGGTATTTACTGACGGTTCGAAAAATCCATTTGGCGTAGGTGCTGCATATTATGGGCCTCAAGCGAAAGTAGAGAAAAAAACTGAAATTACATCATAAAAAGTATTAATAATTGTCTTTCGAATCAAAAGTCCAAAAAAGTAAGACCCACGTTCACGTTTAAAATGCTAAATAGTTCGATGTAAGCCAACATTGTTATGCCGCTTGTTTGATCCTGTGCATTATCGAAATTGTAAGATTTAGATTTTGTAAAAGTTTCAATAATTGTGTTTTGGAGCAGAAGTCCTAAAAAGTACTATAAATCTAGTACCTTGTATCTAATTGGTGTACTCTTTGCGACCCCCAAAATTCGTTGTTGCTTCTCTGCTGGATATAGCGATCCCCAGTTTGCGATCCCTACCGCGAACAATGTGATAATTCTACAAGTTACTGATCAGAGGCAATTAGTCATATACTCCATGAAACAGTTATAAAACTTCATTGAGTATTTTACTGTTATTGTAATATTTGCAACTTGTTCAGTTGAAAACTACACCTGATATGTTATGAAATATTGAGCTGAATTTATGAAATTGAATAATTACATATATACCTGTAACTGTATAGTCGATGAAAAAGCAATGTCTATGGTAATCTATAATATTTGAAATTTAATGGCAATCGCTGAATAAATTTTATTTGTCTCAATTGTCTTAGTTTTGTGTATTTTAGAAAAAAAAATCGGAGGAAAGTTTGGCTTTTATAAAATCAAATGTCGAAATTTACCTGTTACGTGTTTTATTGAAACTAACGTATATTTTTTGCTTTGCAGTGTCTCTGTCAAATAGCATTCGTGTGAATTAACTATCTGAAAATGACATAGTTGGCGCAACGAAATTTAGTTTAATTTAATAAATTTTTAAAAACCACATCAACCAACATCGACCTCAGTTTAGAAACAGTCTTTGATGGGTTTGAAAAAGTGATTCCAGAGTGAGTTTCCGCCTCTTCATTTTGTTTCTCGACTGTTTGATATAATATCTATATTAGGGTGGTCCAAGGTTGAAGGCCGCAAAACATTTGAGGAGTTCTCGCGGGCCTTAGTCGGAGAAAACCCGAAAGTGATTCTTTCGTGACACTTATTACTTGAAACCACTCCAGACACTGGTATTTATCGTTGTTGCAGGCAAGGAAGAAAATACGTTTCGTTCAGTCTTCTTTTGTCACTTTTTATTGACACTTGTTTTAAGATGAATTGGTATATTTGACCAGTTATATAACTTGCAGCATGATAAGGACCTAGTGCTATAGTCAATAAACAACAAAGTCCGTCCAGGTTGGGATTTCGGGAACTAACTAAAAACCTGGATCGCGCTGCGCTAAGTCAGCTCTAGGTTTCGTCACTTTTGTCACATGTACCACGCTTGAAAATAAAGGCACAAAACGTCTCTCCAAATAAGGAGTTGCTCGACGCGAGCTTAAGGTGCGAAGCTGAGATGAAAAGCAGGACTCATCTCATCAGCTGGATCCTACCTGCACAAGACAATTCATTATACTTGGACGTCATTCCCATATCGGCACCGCCTTGACGTTTATAGATACAACATTGGAATTCTCTGATCTCGGGATCCCAACCTCATGTGGAATAGCTAAAATGAAATCGAAAATGCCAATAGGTACAAACATCTGCCACCTCGATCCATATGATTTGACACCGAAGATAAACCCAAGTATGCGTTATTTCACTTGAAAATATGTTACGGTTATAGGTCATCACAGTATATATATTTTACCATCAGTTTGCAACGATTACAGTCATTTCTAATAATACGAAGATATTATTTGGGAAATTTTGCATATTTTTAAACGTATTGCAGCGTTTGCCAAATGCAACGCCCAATAGAACAATCTACTATTTAAAATAAGAACACAAAACGCTAAAAATGACCTTAAATAGTCCCAATGACCAGCTTTCATGCAATATAAAATTTATTTGAATACTCATTGTGGTTCTAGAGATATGAGATCATGAAGTTGATTCCTTCTGAAACGAAGAACAAGCCGGAAAACCGGCTTGCCGGGCCACAGAGCGTACTCAAACAAACGGATTCAGGTGGTTAACATTGGACTAAAAATAATAAAATTACTGTTCGAATATACTGAATAAGATTTTAAATACATGTATATTGAGAAGCAATCTTACTATTTCCGAAATATTGTACGCTTCCTTACAATCTACCACATTCTATGAAGTCCGTCTATGTTTCGCGAAAGAACCGTTATAATTCTGATCTAAGAGATTTTTACACCGTGGTTTTCATGCGTGTTATCAAATCTTCTGAGGTTTTTCCGGCGCATTGCCGGACTCGTTCATATATATATATTTTTTTGCTAATGTTCACCGTAAACGTCACATTGTTCCCATTAAGGTAATTAAACCGATATACAGTACTGGTTTCTGAAGTTGCTCAACGTTTCTAGTTGTGGAGTCGCGGGTATCTGCAGGCTTTGATCTTAGGAAACTTGGGGTCGCGAAAAAAAAAGTTTGGGGATCACTGCTCTAACGGATTTGCTTTTTGTGTGCGATGACGTCTTCAAAATTGAAATTTCCCCGTTCGACTTAGCAATCTGGAGGTTAGACAAAGTCGTGAAGGCTGCGGTACCGGTAGTCTACCTTGACAGATTGAATACCCGTACTTCGTTTTGACCTTGTTCTACCTTGGCCTGTTTTGGGATTGCACATAGTAGATGCTCTATACTAGAGTCTACTCTACTTCTAGAATATCACATACGTTTTCCGAATGTTCGATTATCAAGTTTGGTGAATATAATCAAGTTGCATAATTGGTATGTCCTCTCGTCACAGGCGCATTTATGCGTAAATCGTAGTGCGAAATCATGACGTCACATTTCAGCGCCATACAAATAAATTTACATTTGAAAATTAAACCATGTAAAATTCTTCACTCACAAAGGCCTTGACGCGGCGATATGTGCTTTATATGATTTTAAATATGACTATTATTTTCACCATACCCATTCATAATATGTTTTATGGATGTAAAATAACTATATTATTCTTGTGTAATAGAAGTATCGACAAATCCCAGTTTCGAGACGAATGGCCTGGCAAACTGCATAAGATAAACTTGGAAACTGGCGTCAAAATTGATGTATGCACCCCGTTAATAAACGGATTTGGTGGAAGACCTGCAGGATGCGAAGCAGATAAATTCGACAATATCTGGATTGCAGATGTTAGACTCGGACTTCTGAAGTATTCACCTGAAAATAACAAGTGTCAATTGGTATTTCTTCATGTTGTTTGTTGTTAATATGTTTCGTAACTATGTTCGGCGTTGTTTGCATTTTTCTATGTGTTTGCGTTACATACTGGAAGTATTACGTGGACTTTAAAACCAGTTTTGCATATTTTACCCCTTCACCAATCAAGATTACAAAAGTATCCCCAATACATCCATTGATGATCTTATATCAAAAATTCGTCAAGCAAAGTATTAAGAGCTTTACTTTTAGACGCGAAGCCTTGGGAGGAGGTAACACTGGGGGACTTTTTTTTATGACATTTTGTTTCATCAAATTCCAGTGCGCTATATTTTGTGACTAAATTTAATGTCATAGTTAAAATACCAAAGAACTCGACTTATTTAAAAGGTGTTGGTTATAATTTCGGTGGAAATATAGGCCTGCTGATAATAATAATAATAGGCTAATAGTAACAGTTATTTCATCAAACTTACACAATGTTTCTCGTCATTGTTTACCATTCTAAATCTTTTTTTACAATAACGAAATTTCCCCCGGGATAAGAAATGTTGGTGATCAACTGAATAACCTTTGCTTGCAACATTTAACTTCAACAGGAAATTGGAGAAAATATATATATATTTTCTTAAACAAGGTCAAACGACTCATAAAGCGATGAATGAGTCATTCTTTTTTGTAAACGGGACTGCTATAAGGGATAATATACTATTGGTGGCTGAAACAATGAAGGCGCGCATTATAGCATTTGACATCGTATCAAACGGAAAACTGGCGAATAAACGAGTGTGGGCTGATTTGCCAGAAGGTAATATGTAAATACCATATATATATATCAAAGTTATCGGCATTTACCGATAAAATTTACCAGTTCATCCGTTTCCCAAGTTGCGCCTTGAATCAGAGTGTCTGTATAGACAGTCACATAAAGCTATTGGCCATACATTTAAGCCAACCACTTGGATTAAAGACAAATAAATCTATTATAAATGTGGAATTCACGTATCCAATATTTAAAGTAAAGCCTACGTAGACAGATATGTTTTCGTTTTTTGAAACAGCTTGTTATGTTGTTATTTCAGAGATTAATATGCATGCAACAAGTGCTGACTTGTGATCTTTGCGCCATTCCGCCCAGTCCTAATTATTTCAATTAATTGCTAGCATCATTTTTCAGTTGTATACAATAATCCTATGAAAATTGGCGGGTCGGATGGAATGGATTTTGATAATCGTGGACGACTGCTGGTAACAAATCATGGAAGCAGTCACTTTGAAGTTTTTTCAGCAACTGGAGTTTTAGAAGCCAGAATCAAATGTCCATTTTTAAAACCCAGTAATTTGCAATTCAAACTGGTAGTCGGACAGAACATGATTTTGATGGAGTTTGGGAGTTCCAGTGGGAAACTGAGGGAAGGCCAATGAACTTTTTGAATAAATAATATTATATGGGTAATATTTGTAGCTGAATGACAGTACTATGCTCTTATACAGAAAGAAGAATATATGGTTTTGTGCTGAACTCTGCTTGTGGCGAATAACTAGGTATTCTCGTCAATAAAATTTCATAAAACACAGAAAATCTGGAACAATTCAATCAATAATTTTGGTTGGTATGTTGCAATGAATTCAAACCACAGTAGAAAACCCAGTAATTTGCAATTCAAACTGGTAGTCGGACAGAACATGATTTTGATGGAGTTTGGGAGTTCCAGTGGGAAACTGAGGGAAGGCCAATGAACTTTTTGAATAAATAATATTATATGGGTAATATTTGTAGCTGAATGACAGTACTATGCTCTTATACAGAAATAAGAAGAATTTCATATGGTTTTGTGTACTGAACTCTGCTTGTGGCGAATAACTAGGTATTCTCGTCAATAAAATTTCATAAAACACAGAAAATCTGGAACAATTCAATCAATAATTTTGGTTGGTATGTTGCAATGAATTCAAACCACAGTAGAAAAGGCTTCCTTGGGGTTCTTTTCACGCATAAGTCTGAAATCAGCAAAAAATCAAAATGTATGATTCGAGGTGTTTACATCTGGAGTGTGCAAACTGCGGCGGCCCGCAAAGAAATAGTGCGCTGCCCGTGGAGACGTGCCAATTTTAAAATGGTGTGTCCGCGAAACGAGTTTTTTTTTTGGTAATCTGGTATGTGCGAGCAATTTCAATCTCTTTGGGTCGCAAAGCTTATACCTGAGTGCTACTGTCATATTAGTGAAACTAGCTAGCAAAATACACAATGTTATAAAAAACGCTTATACCTGAGTGCTACTGTCATATTAGTGAAACTAGCTAGCAAAATACACAATGTTATAAAAAACGTGGTATTAACTAAATTTGTAGTCTGTGTGACAATAAATTTGAATAGCAGTTTTCTTTAGAAATTTTTTGCAAATTCCGACTCAACTTTTCTACAAGACACCTTAAAGTTAACAATGCCGTAAGATTGATAACAGAAAGAAACTATTTTTTGTGCTTACAACTTATGAAGCCCTTCGTAGGTAGAAAATTCCGTAAGTAGGGACGCATTTTACCTGTAAATGCCCTAATCCGTTCTAATCTCCCGCAAAACTCGGACATAATATTTGTATAATGGCTAAAACCCGTAACAAATTCATGTTAGAAATAGAGCACTGCATAATAAATAGAAAAGATTACATGGAAAGGAGGAACAAAGAAATACCGCATAAAATCTACAAACGGTATGTTCGTTTACCCTCGTCGTTGGCCGACTAAGGTAGGCTAAGCGAAGACCGCGGAGGGTGGGAGGACGATCCGGGGGAGGTGGTAAAAGTTGACAGCTGATCGAGAACCTAATGTACAAAATGAGCACACACACATGTAATTCTTTGTGTTAACTGTTACGCGTATCATCGTGTTCGCACTGAATTTCGCTAGCAATACACTGTACGTACCCTCGGGAAACAAACGGACGAATGGGATGGCAGATAATCATTTATTAAACCAAAAGTGAACGGCGGCGCTAGGCTATCTGCGCCATATGCGGTATTCTTATATACACAAAAAACGATTCGAAGGTGTCTTTATTATAATATTAAATTCGAATTGGACATCCCTTCTTCAAGCATTGTTCGGATTTTTGGCCTTCCGTATGAGAAAAATCTTACGATAGCCGATGCAATGAATTTTCGTATAGGTAGAGTTGAGATGCGGCCCGCGGTTTCACCCAGTTACTTATATTTGGTCCTCCTGCACTAAAGGTTGCACACCACTGATTTACATCGTTGGGCGGTTCCAATTTCTTTCCTAATCTGATTTGTATATTTGGACAAAAACCGACAGAAAGATGAAAAAGTCTATCGAAAGCCAGTTTGAAATATTTTACTACAAAAATTGTGAATTAATGCATTACTACTGAAACATTATTTTGTTTGTTCGGAAGGAATGATTTGTAGTTGTGCAATTCAATACATAAACACATAAATGCACCATAACAATCAATTAATATTATAATGCTGTCCCAATATATTTCAATTAAAGAAATGTCACTGGTCTTTTTTCAATCCAAGCGGCAATCTTGGGAAGACTTTTCACTTTTTCGTATATTTTCTGCATCTCAGGAACACTAGAAAGTACGTCGTTGCAAACCGGCAACACAAAATCTCCAAACGTGAACAAATAGAGATCGGCGAGTGTAAACTGTGAATACACATATACATCAAGGAATTTACCAAAATATATTTGAATATTGAAATAAATTACCACTCTACTTCCCAATGTTGCACAAGCAACAGTAACATTTTTTAGATTATATTTTTAAGAAATACCGACTTCTGCCAGCTTGAGTGCGAATAGAATTCTACATACTGCTTAGTTAGAGTTATTGAGACTGAAAAATATGGATCATTAACATTGTAAGTTTGATGAAACCTCTTTCCACAAACCTGCAGAAAATCTGCAAATATCTGAGTTGCTGAGTAAAACTGGCCTACCAATACAAGTCGTCACAACATAGCAAATGTAGCCAATTTGGTTTTAAAGCAAATTATTACTGAAACTAACAAGTTCACGCAAAACTAATTCGGGTCGGAAACTCGGAAGTGTTGAACACTCCATGAAAAATTTCCGCTAAAAATGGGATTCGTTATGGTTGATGGATTGAGAATTAGAAATTACCCTTTAATAAATTCTATGTAATGAAGTCACTTTGGTTTTATCACTTAATTTTGGTATTCATCTATATCATACATACCGTTCCAAATATCCACTCTCCCTCATGAGGACATTTCTCAATCATTTTCTGAAGTCTAGACAAGGATTCAGGAGTCATTTTTTTAAATTCCTCGGCTCGAGCTGCCTGTAATATTGTGAAAATTTATAAACGTATTTAGTCAAACTCGTAAGTTACGAGAAGTTGTTCCAGCTTTTCAAAATCAGGAATAATACTCTGGAGTCCCCTGGATTTTATTAGGGTGACGTCCCATTTCACATGACACCATGGACCTAATGTTTTCTCCAAATAATTGGCAGAATTTTGGTATGTCGCCATACTACAACAAAAGCACTATTCTGTAGTGATAAATATATTTGAGAATTTAAATTACCTTCTTTTTTTGTCTTCCTCCATAAAGGGATATTTGGAAAATCTGGAACAATTCAATCAATAATTTTGGTTGGTATGTTGCAATGAATTCAAACCACAGTAGAAAACCCAGTAATTTGCAATTCAAACTGGTAGTCGGACAGAACATGATTTTGATGGAGTTTGGGAGTTCCAGTGGGAAACTGAGGGAAGGCCAATGAACTTTTTGAATAAATAATATTATATGGGTAATATTTGTAGCTGAATGACAGTACTATGCTCTTATACAGAAATAAGAAGAATTTCATATGGTTTTGTGTACTGAACTCTGCTTGTGGCGAATAACTAGGTATTCTCGTCAATAAAATTTCATAAAACACAGAAAATCTGGAACAATTCAATCAATAATTTTGGTTGGTATGTTGCAATGAATTCAAACCACAGTAGAAAAGGCTTCCTTGGGGTTCTTTTCACGCATAAGTCTGAAATCAGCAAAAAATCAAAATGTATGATTCGAGGTGTTTCCATCTGGAGTGTGCAAACTGCGGCGGCCCGCAAAGAAATAGTGCGCTGCCCGTGGAGACGTGCCAATTTTAAATGGTGTGTCCGCGAAACGAGTTTTTTTTTTGGTAATCTGGTATGTGCGAGCAATTTCAATCTCTTTGGGTCGCAAAGCTTATACCTGAGTGCTACTGTCATATTAGTGAAACTAGCTAGCAAAATACACAATGTTATAAAAAACGCTTATACCTGAGTGCTACTGTCATATTAGTGAAACTAGCTAGCAAAATACACAATGTTATAAAAAACGTGGTATTAACTAAATTTGTAGTCTGTGTGACAATAAATTTGAATAGCAGTTTTCTTTAGAAATTTTTTGCAAATTCCGACTCAACTTTTCTACAAGACACCTTAAAGTTAACAATGCCGTAAGATTGATAACAGAAAGAAACTATTTTTTGTGCTTACAACTTATGAAGCCCTTCGTAGGTAGAAAATTCCGTAAGTAGGGACGCATTTTACCTGTAAATGCCCTAATCCGTTCTAATCTCCCGCAAAACTCGGACATAATATTTGTATAATGGCTAAAACCCGTAACAAATTCATGTTAGAAATAGAGCACTGCATAATAAATAGAAAAGATATACATGGAAAGGAGGAACAAAGAAATACCGCATAAAATCTACAAACGGTATGTTCGTTTACCCTCGTCGTTGGCCGACTAAGGTAGGCTAAGCGAAGACCGCGGAGGGTGGGAGGACGATCCGGGGGAGGTGGTAAAAGTTGACAGCTGATCGAGAACCTAATGTACAAAATGAGCACACACACATGTAATTCTTTGTGTTAACTGTTACGCGTATCATCGTGTTCGCACTGAATTTCGCTAGCAATACACTGTACGTACCCTCGGGAAACAAACGGACGAATGGGATGGCAGATAATCATTTATTAAACCAAAAGTGAACGGCGGCGCTAGGCTATCTGCGCCATATGCGGTATTCTTATATACACAAAAAACGATTCGAAGGTGTCTTTATTATAATATTAAATTCGAATTGGACATCCCTTCTTCAAGCATTGTTCGGATTTTGGCCTTCCGTATGAGAAAAATCTTACGATAGCCGATGCAATGAATTTTCGTATAGGTAGAGTTGAGATGCGGCCCGCGGTTTCACCCAGTTACTTATATTTGGTCCTCCTGCACTAAAGGTTGCACACCACTGATTTACATCGTTGGGCGGTTCCAATTTCTTTCCTAATCTGATTTGTATATTTGGACAAAAACCGACAGAAAGATGAAAAAGTCTATCGAAAGCCAGTTGTAATATTTTACTACAAAAATTGTGAATTAATGCATTACTACTGAAACATTATTTTGTTTGTTCGGAAGGAGTGATTTGTAGTCGTGCAA